CCATCCCTGGAGTCAGGAGGACCTGAGTTCAAATCTGGTCTCAGACCAGACACTTGACACTTACTAGTTATGTAAGGTCCCTTAACCTCATTGCTTAGCAAAAAACAAACAAACAAAATATTGTAAGATGATCATCTATGAATGACTTAGTTATTCTCAGCAGTACAATGATCCAAGACAACTCTGAAGGATTTATGATGAAAAATGCTACCCATCCCCAGACAACAAACTGATGATGTTTCAATTTTTTTTACTTTATTTTTCTTGAGGATTTTTTTGTCTATGTTTTCTTTGACAACATGATTAATATGGAAATTTGTTTTGCATGACTACACATGTATAACCTACATAGAATAGCTTGCCTTCTCAATATGGGGGAGAGGGAAGAGAGAGAATTTGGAACTCAAAGTTTTAAAAATGAATGCTAAAAATTATTTTTTGGGAAAACATGTGATTGAGGGAAAATACAAAATAAATTTTCTAAAAAATAAATGTTAAAAAATGTCTTGACATGTAATTGGGAAAAATGCTATTAAGAAAAAAGAAGTGATAAGGATCTGAATTAGGGTGATGACTAGATGAGTGGAGAGGAAGGGACCTATTGAAGGGCTGAGAAAAGAAGAGATCTAGAACACCTAACCACATGCCTTGCAGATAGTAGATGCTCAAGAAATATTTGATTGATATAAACATTTTTAAAGGCTCAAAACACTCATGTTTAGTAATCAACTATTATAATGTGAGGATTATGAAATATAGCACATTTAAATACACATTTCCTTCCTGGTCTAGGCTGAAATTACACAGTCAATTTCTTTTTAACAAGACAAACATTCTTTTTAGAATTTATCCAAATGAAATTATCACAGATTCATTATTAGTATTGTTCAAAACTCCATGACAAACTCATAAAATAGTACACTTGGGACCTAATGGTCCTACAACATCTGTTTCAAATTAGGTTACTTGTTAACAAGAGGTTTTCCTACTTGAGCTATTCCCCCATCCACCTCAATCCCCCCACTCATCTGCATACCATAAAGATATACTATAAAAGATTGAGATGTCATTTAGAAAAGGAGTCTCTCTCTCCTCTCTCTCCTTTTTTCTTTTTGACTCTCCCCCCTTTCTTTCTCATTCTCTCTCCTCTCATTTTCCCTCTTTCTCTCTTTTCCCTCTCTCTTTCTCTCTTCCCTCTTCATCTTTTTGTCTTTCTCTGTTTTCTTTTATTTTTTAAAGGAAGCAATAGACATAAATGGTGTTAATTTATTTTTGGTCAAACGTATTCTAAAGATGGGGCTTAAAAATTGGCAGGAGATCATGCAACAATCTACACCAAACCTGGTTTTCAGATATTTCTCATCTTGGAATTTGAGAGAGATAGGAATTTCCAGAAAATCATATTTCAACATTGATATATTTTAATCTAAACAAAAAGCACATATACTTTTAAATATCATCTTCACATTCCTGATGAGTTTCATATTATGTTTTCATGAATAGGAAGTCAATTACATGTTGTCTGTGGAGTAAGTACCATTGAATTCACATTTATTAGGTACTTATTATGTGTGACAAAGTCTACTAGATTCTGGGGATACAAAGACAAATGTCACAAAGACCTTCTCTTTAGCAGTTCACAATTGAATGGGATAGAGTTGGGGCAAGGACATGAACACAACCATGATACCAGAAAGAGCAAAAAAAAAAAAAAAGAAAGAAAGAAAGAAAAGAAAAGAAAAGACAGGTCTAGTCAAGTTCCACAAAAAATGACAGAGATTCCAGGAACTAGAATCAGAATTGCACTCTAGCTTACCCCTTGTGTCACTTTTTAATTTGGTGACCTTGGACATGTCACTTAACTTCTCCAGGACTCAGATTCTTCCCTTGTTAAATGAAGGGGTTGGATTTGCTAGCCATTGAAGTTCTTTTTAGTTTTAAATCTATGCTCTCAATGATCTCATGTCCTGCATGTTAACCTAACCATTAGTTTTATAGAGAAAAAAAGTTCTGACCTCTGGCCATTTATAGACTAGAAAAAAGGAATATTGTGATTACAAGTGCTACTATAGTAGAAAAAAGTAGAAAGAAGAATCTTGGTTTCAGAGTACTTGTGTTTAAATTCTAACTAGTTATTAACTACCTGTACAAACCTGAGTTAATTCCTTCTCTTGGGCTTCACTTAACTCCTCCGTAAAATGAGGAGACTAGACAGATGATGATTTCTAAAATTCCTTCTACTGCTGAAACCTAAAGGCCCAACTATGATTATGTAACCTGGCATAAAAATGGGGTAGGGTCGGGGTAGGGAGGTATGGCCATGAAGAGCAGGTTTACCATGGGTACACTCATGCTGGGAAAGGGAGAAGTCCTGCCCCCTGCCCCCCAAAGTTTGGGGGAAGAGGATTGGGCAGCTCCTCCAGATGAAATGTGGACTGGAGAAAATTGAAAGTGGGATGTAATGATGATAGGTGTGTCTGTGTGGGTGTGGGTGTGTGGTGTGGGGAGAGAGAGAGAGAGAGAGAGAGAGAGAGAGAGAGAGAGAGAGAGAGAGAGAGAGAGAGAGAGAGAGTGCATGTCCTGGGAAGAGGTACCCCATAGTGGATGTTAGCATCTTGGGGCAAGGCTCCATCAACCCTAAGCTCTGATGAAACTGATAATATTATGAAATGTGGGTTATAAGGGTATTGCTTACAATTTGAGAAAAGAAATTGCCTACCTTTTAAGTCATGTTGAATGAACACACAGTCCTAGGGGCCATGTAAAGATGATATAATTGACTTACCATCAACAAGACATATAATTGGAGATTTTTTTCCCTTCCCAAAGCTGGGGAGATGAACTGTGTTGAGTTCATTCATCCATCCAAGCTCTCTGATCTAGACTCACATTTGGACCATCAGTCAATATGTATTTGTGGATGGTGTGAGGTATGTCACATGATGTTATTAAATATTACTAAATGTTAAATATTAACAGTCTGAAAGAGGCAGCCTCTTTGATGTAAAAAATAGCTTCCAAGTGTTAAAAGACCATCTAATGGGAAACAGCTGTTTCTAATACAAATAATCATATATACTCCTTCTTTTTCTTCTTCTTCCTCCTCCTCTTCCTCCTCTTCCTCTTCCTCTTCCTTTTCCTCCCCAACCCTTTTATCTGTCTTTCTCTCTGTGTCTGTCTCTGTATCTTTCTGTCTCTATCACTCTGTCTTTGTCTGTCTGTCTGTCTCTCTCTCTCTCTCTCACACACACCCCAAAGCCAAGGTTGTCTTTTTTCCCCACTCTGGAGTGTGAGTAAAATTTGGAATAGGAAATCATAATGACAAAAGTTATTCCAAAGGGGCCTGCCACCTCCAGTATCACCCTCACTTGAAAATTACAAAGTTCCTGGTGCTAGGAAGTACAAAACATCTTTAAGACTGACAAAAACAAATGTCAAGACTACATTTGCATCTCCCAACAGCTCTCGCTACCCTAAGACTTAGTTGACATTTTGGGCACCAGGATTTCATAACAGAGAGACTAAATAAGAATCCAATTATGTGGCACTTCAACATCCAATTTAAAAACCCTAAAATTTGAATTCTATTAAAAACAGATGGGATTATTACCCAGGCTTGATAAATACAGCTATAGCCAGGGCAGAATACAACATCTTCTTCGTGTAATATCTTCTTTAAAAAATCAGATGGTGGCTGATAATTACTATATTTATCAGGATAGGAAATACCTGAGATTGTAAGGTGTACTATGATTTCAAAATGTAAAACAGCATTGTATTAAATATATAGCAGCCCTGATTTGCCACATTCTCCATGTCTGAAAACCAGGCATACTGGGGTCTCTTGTTACTTAAGGGTGATCTGGTAGTGAAAAGCCCAATGTTAAAGGTCCTTCAAGGAGATCTTTTATGAGGTGACACATGTGGTTAAGGTTACTCTTGTCTTGAGTAAAAACCAGATGGTAGTGCTTGGGGTTGGGGGTGGAGGAATGTATTCTAAACTGCAGAAATGAACGAAACACACTGACCTGGGTTACACACTTGTCTTTGACATTAACTATCTATGTGACAATGTATATGTCAAAACTACTCTGGATCTGTTTCTTCATGAATAAGTGAATAGAATGAGGATTGAATGAATAAACTCCATGTACTGATCACTTCCCAGATATTTCCACAGCATTTTGTCTGAACTCTGGCTTCCTGAATGCTGCTCCCAGTTTACTGAGCTTTAATAGGTGAGCCCTCGACTTATCTTGCCTAGACCTCCATGTCATTTCAACAGCCTGCTACCCTCATGCCCTGCTTCATAGCTCCCTTTTCTATAATCTCCTTTCTTTAGAATATAAGCTCCTTTTGGGCAGCGACTACCTTGTTTTCTTGTATTTGTATTCCTAACACTTAGCACAGTGTCTGATACATAAAAATGATTAATGAATGTTCTACCAACTAATAAAAAGTCTCTTCTGCTCCAAGATTATTTAATTTGAGAGTTTTGCTCTTGTTTCAATGAATAATACTCGTGATTTTCTTCACTATCTTGTGGATTTTTTTTTTTTTGGCGAGAGCAATTGGGGTTAAGTGACTTGCCCAGAGTCACACAGCTAATGAGTGTTACGTATCTGAGGCCAGATTTGAACTCAGGTTCTCCTGACTCCAGGGCCGGCACTCTATCCACTGTGCCATCTAGTTGCCCCATAGCTTGTGGATTTTGTCCCTGTGCCTTACTATCTTCTGCAGCCTTTCAACTAGATCAAACTTAGCATTCTCAGCTAGTAGAAAAATAGTAGAAATAATAAGGCTAATACTTCAATCAATCTGTTCACTTACTGACTTGATGAAGGGTGTGTGTATGCATACGTGTGTGTGTGCATGAGTAGATAGAGAGTGGGCTTTATAGTTTGGTCATCATTCTGTCCTTGTCTCACATTCATTTGAATAATGCAGAGTTAGTAATCTCACCTTTATTTCATAAATTTGGTCTAGTTATAGTTATTTACCTTGGGCAATGTCATCCTGTCTCTGAAGGCAGGGTCGTTCAATTTTGTTCACCTGTTGGGCTGGCTCTCTCTCTGGCTGCTTGTAGTATTTTCCTTCATTGAACACCTGTGGTAGGTTGGCCGTATGAACCTGTCGAAGTTGCTCATAGTCACTCAGAGCTGCGGTCAAGTCCCAGTTTTTGCCTACAAAGAAGGACAATAGTTACATTGCCTGTTGTCATCTACATTAGAGAATACCTAAGTTCATAATGTGACCAACATATTTAATCATATTTTTTCATTCAAAATAATGAACACCTACTAGGAACCATAGGGGATAAAAAGATGAGTAAAATGCAATCTCACCTTTTACGGAGGTTAAAATGATGAAGAGGAGAAAATACATATGCAAAAGTAGCTATAATACAATTTACAAAAACCTATTTCTGATTTCCTGGAGGCAAAAAAGGAGGTACTTGGGCAATATACTTGGTTGGGAATTAGAATCAGAATCAAAGCCCCAAACTGAACAGTTTTACATACAGTATATCTATATCCCATATAGTATATCCCATAGCACAATGCATCATTGTACTATGGTATAATTATGCGGTAGTCTGAAAAACAAAAACCAAATTCTTTGGTCAATGTTCATACTACCTTTGTGAAATTCAGAGGGAAGAAAGAGACAAGCATGTGATATTTTTTGATGGGAAAATTAAAGAATTTTTTTTAAAGAATGGAAGAAAGTATCTCAGAATATGAATTGGAAGAGGTCTATACTCTGTCTAGTCTAACTCAGATTTGGAGAGGAATCTCCTACATAAAGTATTGAATCACAAGTAATCATCCGACCTTCGCTGAAGAACTCAGATGAAGGGGACCTCACTCCAGAGGTAATGTATTTCACGTTGGGATAGTTGTAATTGTTGGGAAGGTTTTCCCCCCTTTTATAAAAACTAAATTTGCCATTTTATGTTAGCTCTGCCCCTTCTTCTAAGGAATAATACTTGATGTATGTGAAGAAGGAAACAAATACTATCCCAACCCAGTCTTCTCTTTTGTAGACTAAACATCCCCCAATTCCTTCAAATTGATCTTTAGATTAGCCATGAACTTGAGGTCCTTCAATCTCCTGGTTATCCTTCACTGGACACTGTACTGTAGTAATCTCAAATTCCTTCTTACTCATTTACCAAATTCTCTTAGTCATTTACTGTATTATCTCTCAGTCACTGGCCAAATTCTCTCTCAGTCTTGGATCAAATTCTCTCAATCATTTACCAAATTCTCTCACAATCATTTATTCACTACTGAGTTTGTGTGTGAAAGGGTACTAAGTCAATCAAAATGTGTTTATCTTAAGCTTAGTGTGTATAGTCTACTTAACCTCTAGCAAAAGGAGGGAAATATTATATACAACTTGACTGAATCCTAAAATTGTAGTGTTTTTGAAAATGGCCAATAAAATTTTAACTCTAATTTCATGGATCAAATAAAATTCTATCTTTTCCTGCTTCAGTATGAATCACATCTATTAATTATTTTGACTAATTATGTATTAACTGAATTAGTGAATATGGAAAAACAAAGTCTTAAAAGTGCAAAACAACATCTGTACAACTTATTTTTATCAGTCTATTTTTGATGCATGCTCAATACAATTAATCATAACAGCTGAAATTGTATTATTTTGATTTTGAGCACATTTTGGTACTCTCAGTGAATAAAGCTATAATAAATTCTTTCAATTCATGAAGATTAGAAAACTAAATCAGCATCCTTTGGGCAAACAAAAGCAGAATTAAAGTGTTCAACCAGTTTTTTTTTTTGCAGGGGGGGGAGTAAAGATTTTAAAAGGACATTATGTGTGTGTAGTATTATATATCATACAGTGTGTGAACACAAGGTATTATCATTATTATTTTAATTACATTTTACTCAGGAGCTAAACTTAGATCTTTGGAAGAGCAGTAGAATTCAATCTAAGCACACATTTACACTCTATATCGTCAGCCACGCAATAAGCATTCAGCTCTACAGACCTGGATTCTATGTTGTTCTCCATGAAAACTACCAATTAGTTTTTGAAGCTTCCCAATCATTCTTTTGAATCACAGCTCAGTTCACTAGTCAATAAACATTTACTAAGCCCCTACTACATGCCAGACACTTTGCTAAGCACTGGGGATACAAAAAGAGACAAAAGATAGTCCTTGGTCTCAAGAAGGTTACAGTCTAGTGAGGGAGAAAATAAGGAAACAAATAGGTACAAACAAGTTATGCACAGGATAAATATTGAAAAATCCTGATTCATCTGTATCACTTTATAATTGTGAAGCTTTTCACCTTTTTAATCCAACTGACAATGTTATTAAATGTGGACATTAAATGCTTCAAAAACATTCATTAAGTTACTTGATGCTGAGAGAAAATCAAAGCTTGCATCAGTCTGATAACCAGGTACTTAGGTGTCAGCAAGAACTTCTCTACATAAACCTTTTCCAATTCTAAATCCAATTTGTAGACAATTAGGTCACTTTTCAAAACTGAGTATGTTCCACAATAACTGATCAACACATTCCTCAACATCGTCCCTTGTCCACTGCTCATTATGTCCAGTGCATTAGGCAGAAGAAATTGGCTTGTAAAGGCCTCTCCAATCAGTTAATTCTGTAGCATTCCTTGCCATCCTGGTAGGCAAGTCTTATATGATTCAATTCAGTAAGTATCTCATAAGCCCTTATGTGCAAGGCTTTGTACTAGGCTAGGGATAGAAAGACAAAGAGAAAAATAGTTCATGCTCACAAAGTGCTTATATTTTACTTGAGGGCATAATATGCAAAGACAAGTCAATATAATATAATCTATGAAGGAAAAAACACCATACCTTGGGGGTACCATCTGAGCTGAATCCTGAAGGAATATAAGGATTCTAGGATAAGGACAGATGGCATCATAACAATGGTGGTCTTTGGCCAGAACAAAGGCATAAAGATGGGAGACAGAATGACATGTGTGAGGATCAGAGAGAAGGCCAGTTGGGTTGGATTGTAGAGTCTTGGAAAATGAATAAAATATAGTGAAGCTAGAATGCTAGGTTGGGGCTTTAAAAGAGCAGTTTACATTTGATTCTAAAAGGAATAGGAAACCACTGGAGTTTACTGAGTAGGGCAGTACCATGGTCAGATCTTCACAGAAGCTGTAGGCAGGATGGACTGGAGTGGGGAAAGACTCAAAGCAGGGGAACAATGAGGAAGCTATTGCAATAGTCTAGGCAAGAAGTGATGAAGACCTGAACTAAGCTGGTAGCCATATGTAAACAAAAGTTGTCATTATGTGATGGCGAAGTAATTGAGGTAGAAATGGTAAGATTTGGCAACTAATTGGATATGTGAGATGAGAGAGCAAGAGGAATTGGGGATAACATTGGATTTTCATGGATTATCAAGGTAGAACACTGGAAAAATGGTGGCACTGTTGAAAGAAATGGGGAAATTTGGTAGAAGGGTGGGTTAAGGGGAAAAGAAAATTAATTTTGTTTTACATAACTGAATTTAAGTTATCTCCAGTATATCTAGTTTGAAATGTATATTATACAGTTGTTGATGGTGTTCGGGAAAGAGACTTGCTGGATATATAGATCTGTGAATCATTTGCATAAAGATGATAATTAAACCCATGGGAGATGATGTGATCATTGAGAATGTGTAGAAAGAAAAGTGAAGAGGACATAGGACAGAGCCATGGAGAACACACACTTTCATAAGAGGTGATTTCTGTGATGCACCCGCAAAATAGTCTAAGGACAAATCAGAAAGGTAGGAGGAGAACCAGGAGACACTGGTCCTACAGAAAAACCAAAACAAAACAGAGAGAAAAGAATTCCCAGTAGGAGGAAAGGGATTAAAAGAGTCCAGTGCATCAAAGATGGATATGGTGATTAAGAGATCATTAGTGACTTTTGAAATAGCATTTTCTGTTGAACGATGAGGACAGAAGCCAGAATGGCTTTGCATGAAGATATGCCTTTGGATAAAGAGGGAGGCAGCAGGAAGTGGAGGCAATAGGTGTACACAGCTTTTTCTTGGACCTTGCCTGAAAAAGAGGAGAGAGAGAGAGAGAGAGAGAGAGAGAGAGAGAGAGAGAGAGAGAGAGAGAGAGAGAGAATGAGAGAGAGAGAGAGAGAACAAATGCTTAAGGGGATGCTAGGATCTAGTGAAGGTGTTGTTGTTTTAACGGGGAAAATGTGGACATATCTTAAGGTAGTACATTATGAGCCAGTAGGTAGGGAGAGATCTGGAGACTGGAAAGACATGTGGGATAATCTTCTAAAGAAGATAGGGTTTACCTGACAAGAAAGGACACAATTTCTCAGAGACAATAGGAAAAGAGGAGAGTGTGGGGAATGATATCAAAGATCTCAGACACACTAGAGACCATCTACTTGGAAAGACAAGATATATACATAAAAAGCTAGGAGTTAGGAAAAATGAGGAGTTGAGGAAGAATCTGAAGTTATGAACCTGGCAGACTAGAAGGACAGTAGTATTCTCAAAAGAAAATGAACTTCTTTCTCTTCTAGATGTCTTCCTAGTCATGATTCTCCCAAGTCTTCCTACCACTTTCTCTTACTCTTATTTCCTTCTGGCTGTGGTTATGGTTGCTGCCATATTCACCCATGTCTTCTGATCATACTCCATAAATCCTTGCTTCCTTGCCAGCCCCTCTACTCTTCTCCTTTGCCCTTCCAAGGTCTTTGCTCCTCTTTCTCATCACTTACTAAAATCCTATCCTTCCTTTAAGACCCAGATAATGCCTTACCTCCTCTGTCAAGCCTGCCCTGATTGTCTAAGATTTCACTGAAATTTCACCTCCTCTCAACTTCTCTGGTCACATTTTATGTCCTACTTACTTGGCATTAGCATATAGAATACTTCATTATTATTTAACTCGTGTGTGTGTGTGTGTGTGTGTGTGTGTGTGTGTGTGTGTGTGTGTGTGTGTGTGTGTGTGTAGTCTACTCAAGTAAACTGTATTGTATCCCCAGCACCTAATACAGCATAATACTCCTAAGAGGGATAGGGATAGTAGTAGTGACTGGACCTGTGATATCACTGGTGCTCCCAGTACACAGAACTCCCAGGTGATGAAACAACCTCCAGTAGTACAGGATGGTACCTTCTTTAAAACTTGTATTCTTA